AGCTGAAAACATCTCTAAAAGATTTGTTTTGGCCGACGTTCCAAATTCACAAGGACCAGTACATTTCTTGTACCTATCATCTCAACCTTTTCGGTTTATGTCACTGGATAAGATAAATGTATATAACCAACTGATATAAGTATCCCGAGTATTAGACATAGTTTTTTTTTTTTTTTTTTTTTTTTTTTTTTTTAGTCACAAGATTACTATACTACTAAAAAAAATTGTTGAAAGTGGAATTAATGAATTCATACTTACGACAAAACTATAAATAGATAAGAGCATGGTCATGGGTGATACTCATAAAGTATCATTAAGAATTTTTTAATATTATTTATAATATTTGTTTAATGTTTTTTTTTAATTTTTTCTCATACTTTTGGCAAACGCGACCAATTAGGAGATGCCACGTCAGATGATACCAGTATCAAAAGTATCACTGGGTTGATACTAATCATACCCATTCTAATTGTTTTGTCAATATAAAAATAATATTTGGACTTGTGATACTCTAAAAATATCACCCATGTACATGGTCTAACGAAACCCATAAAAAATATCAAATCAACTTTTACCAAAAAAAAATATCAAATCAAATAAGAGAGAAAAAAAAATTAATACTCCAAAAAGGAGTAAAAGAGAAGGCAAAGGGAGTCTCACGTGCGGATGTGAAATTGCGTAGTCGGCACGGAAAGCGACAAAACATCGGTGAAAGTCACGCGCTTCTCGTACTAGTTCTCTATAGGGACACTTAGCTCAGAGGTAATATTAGAGAGTGTAATTTGCTAATAGGTAATAGACTGCTATGTCACAAAGGCATGGAAATAACGCTTCATTTTCGGGCTACGGTTTGACGAAAATAACGAAATAACCAGGCAGTGACGTACGCATGCGAGTGGGATAGGAGGGCTGACTTTTTTGGCAAAAATGAAAGAAGCGATGGCTCTGTTATTGATGGGATGGTTCCGCGGCGACAGAAAGAAGAAAGGACACGACTAATATTTAATGCAAATCTGCAAACTGTCTAAGTAGATCTGTGGATATCTATAATAGAACAACAGATGCTTGGCAAATATACATGAATAGATACAGATCTAAGTAGATCTATGGATATCTAAAACAAACAATAGATGCTTGATAAAATATACACGAATAAATATAGATCTACATGGGAAGTTGAATATCTAAACTCAGAGATAATTAATAAATTATGGATCTAAATATATTTTTGGATATGGAGACGGAATTTAGTGAGGAAAGCGAAAAAAAAACACAAAAAACTAGATACTATACAATCGTGAAAGCAATGGAATGAAAACAAGTACATGGAAAAACTTTTGAATTTTGTCGCTTGACAACATTAAGCTGGCGGGTTAACAGAAACTGGGCCAATTTGCCAGAGAAGAGATGTTTGGAGTAGACATCAAGAAGTTTCCCGAAGCAAGGCCTAATGGTTTCAATCTCTTCAGGCGTAAGACCTTTCAGCACATCCTTGATCATATTGAGCTTAAAGTACATATTCATCCTATCGCCAGCAGGTTCCTCTCTATCGGCGAACAATCAGGAAGGTAACTCCATATCAGCCATAGTTCTGAACAGTAAAAAAATTGAACAGTAAATTATGTATCAACATCAAGTGAAAATAAAAAGAATAAATAGATGTTTACAAAAAAAAATGCACATCAAAACACATATTTATAAATTAGGGATATGGATCTAAGTAGATTTGTGGATCTAAGTAGATCTGTGGATATTTACAATAGAACGATAGATGTTTGGCAAATATACATATACACGCAAAAACACAGATTTATAAATTAGAGATGTGGATCTAAGTAGATTTGTGGATCTAAGTAGATCTGTGGATATCTACAATAGAACGATAGATATTTGGCAAATATACATATACACGCATATTTGTTTCGGAAGAAACAAAAAAATTTGGTTGCATTTCCCTTAGCGCGTGAGGTTAAAAACGGAAAAATGATGGGCTAATGTTGCAATTGTCTTAAACCCCGACAAGAATTTACCAAAAACTAATTATGCCCCAGATCTTTACCTCCCACCTAATTATCTCTTCTCTATATCTATCATCCACGATTATCCTTTAGCATCGTGACACGTCATGTCTTCTTAACACAAACGTGTACTACTATATCGATGTTTGTCCCAATTATTTGTAGTGACATTTTATGAGACATCTCTCGCTAGGCCGTCTCAATTATATACGCGACCTATATATTAATCTCACACTCATTTATTGCAATTGCTATACATTGTCAAAAAAAAAAAAAAAATTTAGTTAACAAAGAAAGAGTTAGAAGATCTCATGAAATTGGGAAATATTTAGAGCCGATTGCATGGTTGGCTAGGTACTTCGATTTTGACCCGGAACTTAGCCTACTTGCTATGAATCATAAGATGTGTGTTCGATTATTACTAATTACATCAACATTAATAATGTGTTACACATAAGCAAGAGAATTTGAATATTTTTAAAGGGACCATGACCATGCACATATAACGATTATAGTAATTTTACCCCATATGTGGGGAATAAGTCAACAAAGTTCACCGACTAAAATATTTAGATTGTTAAAAATGCTAATTCCCCTCCAACTCCTAACTTTTTTGACTTTGGGGGAGGGATCAGAGCCGGCCACAAGACCAAGCAAGTAAAGCACATGCTTGCGGCCACTAAATAATATCATTAATTTTTGGCCATTTTTATGAAAAAATTCATGTAGTTTAGTGGTTATAACTCGGTAGAGCATTCAACAATTCGTGGGTTCAAGTCTTGAAAGTGTAATTTAAACATATTTTTTGTTTTTTTAATAACAAAATCATTAAAAAAACATATTATGTGGCCTTTTTTTTTCCTCAGCATGTAGCCATGTGAAACTCCGGGACGGCTGTGGAGGGATTTTGTGTGCCGATCCACTTTGGCTCGTCTTGTTTATCGTAGTTCTCAATGTTATTTTCTAGGTCATATGGAAAATAAAGTTTGCATCCATTGGAAAACAAGATTAGTAAGAATAAAGTCGAACATATCAATCCATGTTTATGAATTAGTTTTTTTTCCAATTTTATCAATTAGTTTATAAAAAAGTATTTTCAACAAAGAAATTATAAATCGGTTTAGTTTCAGGAAGAAAAAATGAATGTTTTATAGAGTGGGCTAAATCAAAATATTTTAGAAAGTAATTAATTGGAGTGACCTGACCACGGATCAAGTTAGTTTAAAATCAACGTAGAAAGGTTATATTGTTTCTAGTTCTACATTCGAGTGTCTGACTATGGATCTTTTAAAATAAGAAAACTTTTACTTGTTTGCAAGAAAAAACCAGTTTTTAATTATGTCTTGTACCAGTTTTTGTGAAGGCAATGATATACTTGTTTGTACGGAAATAGCATGCTCAATAGTGAAAATGACAAAGCAATAATTAAGCATAATAATTTCAACCCCGAATTTGGGTTTATATGAACAATTTCAAACGAAAAAGGTCAATTTTTTTTGTTTGTCTTTTATATCACTCGACGTATAGGAAAGATGATAATGATAGTCCTACACTCCTAGGAGTCCTAGCTCGTAAATAATTACTATTATCTGTACATATTGAAGTGGACGTATGCCAAACTTACGATACTGTGTAATATTTTGTTTCCTAGACTTAGAAAGTGAGATATGAATAACCAATGTTCCATTAATTTCCGAAATAATACTCCATATATACAATCTTTTTTTTTTTGAGCATAAACTCCATATATACAAGCTTAATTCTTAAATTAAACCACACAATCTTATTTCGTGTATTAAAAACTTATCTTCCTTTTTTTTTTTTAACTTAGCTAAATCTAAGTAATATAAGCTTACCTAAATCTACTTAACCAAATGATGAAGATACTACTTTCATATGTAATCTTTGCAAACGATAGATACAAAACGATCAACAAGTGAATATTTAATTGGGATTATGATTAGCTTTTATTAATTAATCCAATCTTGTGACGAACTTAGAGCATATATTGCCGTGGACCGACCGACCAGTTTTTCATGTTGATTTGGTCACGAGACCAACCCTACGTGCATGTATGTATTGGCCCCATTATACGACCATACTTGTCATATATCACATTTAATGTTAAGTTTTATGTTCTTTAACATTATACGACCATACTTGTCATATATCACATTTAGTCCTACAACTCAAAACCAATTGATAATAAGTGGATTAACTCAAGTTCTTTATATACTATTCAAGTCTTTTCTCATCTTTCTAATGTGGGATCATTCTCCACACGTCCCCTCGAGATAATGGCTCTTCTAGCCATTAATCTCGACAGAATTGAGCCTTCTTTTGGGCTATCAATTAGTGGAGGTGATCGGGCCACTTTCCGGGCCTGATTAATGGGTCAGCGTATGGATCGAGCTCTAATACCATGTTAAGTTTTATGGGCTTCCAACTCAAAACCAAATGGCAATAAGTGGATTGACCCAAGTCCTTTATATACTATTCAAGTCTTTTCTCATCTTTCCAATGTGGGATCTTTCTCCACACTTAACATCTAATACTAAAAAGTCCACTTTCTCGGAATCTTTCCTATATTTTATGTTTAGTATGTGAATTTCATAAGAAGTAAAAAAAAAAAAAGTGTTGTTGTATATCAGACTAATTGATATACCAATTTTTAGAAGTATATTGATTTCCAGTTTGGCTAGAGTTTGTATTTTTTTTTTTTGAAAAATGTTCAAATTTATTATAAACTTAGTAACCGGATGCAAATGGTCTCCTCCGATTTCCGGTTTGTTTGTTTGTTCGTATCAATTTTTCTGGTACAATTCAGTGCTAATGCGTTGCATATTTAAAACCCAGTATGACGTCAGCTACCGGAGCAACATAACGGGCTTTTATTATCTCAGCCCATTAGTTTCAATCACAAGCCCAATAAAATTAGTTTCATAACGATGATCTGACAAAATCCAGAAGATGATCAATGGAATTTTCCTGGGAAAAGTTACTCGAACATTCTTTGTGAACTGATCCAAGAGTTTATTAGAGGATCGATGAAGTCTCCAGAAACCATTTTTATATAGAGTGGAGTGATGTAGTATGTGACGAAAACCTTCGCAATGTGTTCGTCATCGCTTAGAAGATCGAAACAAAATTATAATTTTCATATAGAAAAAAAAAAAAGGAAAGCCAAGTAAAAATTCGATTACGACTCTGTTTTTTTTTTTTTTTTTTTGGGGTATAAAACGAAGATGAGAACACCGAGAGAGATTTATAGCAGAGGAAAGTGAAATCATGAAAGGGATTCTAGGGTTTGAACACGGGATAGTTCAGGCGCCATTAGGACCAGATATCTCCGGACCAGAGCTTGTAGCCGCAGTCGCTAATGCCGGAGGGATTGGTCTTCTCAGATGTCCTGATTGGGTAATTTGCAAGTTTATAAAAAAATTGACATCATTCTCTTTGATTTTTTTTTTTTATAGAATGTTTGTTTTCATGAATCAGGAGTGTCCTGATTACTTGAGAGAGCTTATAAGGAAGACAAAGACATTGACAGACAAACCATTTGGGATCGGTGTTGTTCTTGCGTTTCCTCATGATTTGAACATTAAGGCAATCTTAGAAGAGAAAGTTGCTGTCTTGCAGCTTTATTGGGGTGATTGTTCACAGGAGCTTGTGGATGATGCTCACCGTGCCGGTCTCAAAGTTGTTCCTCAGGTAACTACTTTTGTATGTTTTACCACAAGGAAGGAACTTGTCTTATATTTATTCCTTAGTTGATTTTTGAAAGGTGGGGAATGTCGAAGAAGCTAGAAAGGCTGTTGCTGTAGGAGTAGACGCCATTATTGTCCAAGGGCATGAAGCAGGTGGGCATGTTATTGGCAAGGATGGTCTCTTTTCATTGTTGCCAAGAGTGGTGGATTTAGTTGGGGAACGCGATATTCCCGTTATCGCTGCCGGAGGAATTGTGGATGCACGCGGTTATGTCGCAGCCTTGTCACTTGGTGCTCAAGGGGTCTGTCTAGGCACAAGGTGTGCTCTTCTTTCTTTCCACATGTTCTCAAGTTTGATGTTAGCCTTTTTGTTGGGCTGAGTTTAGAATCTTCGTTTTCTTAGATTTGTGGCGACTCATGAAAGCTATGCACACCCAATATACAAAAGGAAGTTGGTTGAATATGAAAAAACAGAATACACAGATGTGTTTGGAAGAGCAAGGTGGCCTGGTGCGCCTCAACGTGTTCTGGAGACACCTTTCTTTGATGACTGGAGGTCTCTTCCGGCTGGTGAGAATGAAGTTAATCAACCTGTTATTGGACGTTCCACCATACATGGCGTTGTAAGTTGTGTCATTTGCATATTTCTTTTTAATGAGATTTCTTTATCCTCCAAAAAATATGGTCTTGCACTTATGAATAAGGGAGTTACACATTCACTATAGGAAAAGGAGATAAGAAGATTTTCAGGAACAGTACCAAACATGACGACAACGGGCGACTTAGAGAGTATGGCTATGTATGCAGGCCAAAGCGTAGGCCTTATCAAGGAGATTTTACCGGCTGGAGAGGTAGTGAAAAGTCTTGTGGAAGAAGCTCAGGCTCTGATCCTCCAAAAGTTCAACAATGCTACTACATGATGCAGTGCAGCCTCAAATCATGAGCAACCATAAACTTTACTGCTTTTGGAATCGGATGAGAATAGTCTCATCTAATGTAATAAGGTACCCCTTGTGTATATCTTGTGTTGTATTCAACTAGAAAAATGGTGTCCATCATGTGTAATCCATTCCTCTTTTTACCAACAGACCTTGGTATTGAATTAAGTATACTTCTTATGGTTGTTTGTTTCCAGTGAAACTTCCCACACATCTTAGTTTCATATTAAATTTCTTAGCGAATCAATCATTTCATAGCTTTATTGCTCGTAAGAAGAGAGAGGCTATGCAGCTTTTACAAGTTTTGCTGCAGACATCATCATTACATGATACATACAGGTAGAAAAAGTAGGTGTATATGTGGAAAACGTTTCCGAGCAATTTGCAGAATAAGCAATATACATATGTACAGCATTTCAGAGTACAAACTTTGTCGCGTACAAGTCGAATTCATCAGATGATGTTAGCAGTGGCTCCTGCAAGCAACTCGGAGATACAATATTCAATCATTCAGAATACAAAGTTTCAGACAATACAAGTTTTGTTATAACTTACCGCGGATGCATCAGAGCTTGTGTAGTCCCCGTTAAAGGCGAGACGAGACTGGGCCTCTCGTATTGCAGAACACATAAGGTTAAGCAGGTGGCCATATGTGGGGGCTGGTCCAGCGGTCTTCACCGCCTTTATAAAGCTATAAGTCATGGCTCCTGTGTTCTTCCCCGTGAATACCTGAAACAGCGCCAAATGATCCAGTTAACATACAGAGAGGTATGTGTGCTTAGTTGCATGATGATGAATGAATGATATAATAGAAGCTTTTTAAACATACAGGAGTGTAACCACTGGTTTCATCATCGTCACAAGCACTGAAACAGAAAGCTGCTCCACCATCTGTTCCTTTGTAAGCTCTGACTGATCTATGATCTTCCCATTCATAAGAACCATTCCTGATTTGTCATAAACACACCACAAGTTTCTTTTTCAGATTCAGTCTAAGTATAACTGAGCAGAATGATTTATAAGTTTACCTCTCCATCCTGCAAACGAAGGGTAAATCAAGGACAGTCCCGCTGTTACAGGCGTCGATGACAGCATGAAGCTTAGCTCCATGGACGAGAGGCCTCACGAGTATCCGGTTAATCTCGTCATCAATGATTTTTCCTTCTGTTTCATGGTCTAAAGGGCACAAGGCTTCATCTTGACCATCGATCTCGTCTCCGTTGTAGTCTTTCTGCTGAGATCCATGACCAGAGAAATGGAACACTAGTGAGTCCATTGCTCTGTTCCCTTCGACTAACCATCTCATCGCTTTCCTAATGTTTCTCTTCGTGGGGATTCTCTGCGGGCTTGCTTCATCTTCTGCAACAGTAACACAACACTCATCATCAGGAAGATAGAAACAGAGAGTTTTAGAGAAATGGGGAACAAAAAAAAAAAAAACAACCTGTGAGCATGAGAATAGAGTCAATAGGGAAACCCATTTGTTGAACCAAGAAAGATCTCATGGATTTAGCATCACTGATGCAACCTTTCAAGCTATAACTTTTTCCCTTATAGTTCAAGCCGCATAAAACTGCTCTCTTCTTCCCAAACGGCGAGGGAAGGGGCTCAAGCAGCCGCGGTGGCGGTTGAGCCATCATTTGTTGTTGTTGTTCATGATATTGATGTTGCGGTTGATGTTGTCTAAGTAGCTGTTGAAACCCATGAATTATGCGGTTTGCACCGCGCGCTATGTCCATGAGCGAGTAGAGCTGCGTGACGGTGTGGCAGGTTGAGCATTGGACAGTACGGACGTCTGGTTGAACCCACATCCGTCTGCCGCACTGGCACCGTACTTCTCTCCGAGTAGCCATGATTGAGCTTTGTTTTGGTTTTTCTTTTTACAATTGCAACAAATGCATTTGAGTGATGAGTTTATAAAGAGAATGATATTATTATTCGTTGTTATCTATGAAAAGAATAAAATGTACATTTTATTATGTGAGGATTTGTCCACGTAATTAAGCTTCCATTTTGTTATGTGAATCAATTCGGGCAAGTTTTCAAAAATTATATTGGAATTTGATTCTGCGAATTTATTTATTTATTTATTTTTTTGTGATTGAAATATTCCACTAACGTCACTTCATTACAAATTTGCAATTTGATTGTTTTTTTTTCCTTTTCAATTCAACCAATGAGTTCTGCCGTTTCATGCATGCACTTACTAAATTAGCTAGTAAGGAACCATGTCACGTTAATTTCGGGAAAAGAACATCATTTACTTGTATGTATTTTGTTGATAAATCGTAAGAGTTACAGATTTTTGGTCCATTATCTCTTGGTGCTTAAAACCAGCCATTGATAATATTGTGTTTAAGGTGTAATCACTCCTCCTATTTCGTAACCTTAAGAATAGCACAAACATATAATTAATAACAAAAAAAACTCCACACTATTAATAGTAAATCTCATTTTTTCGCAGCTAAAAAAAAATTTCTTATTTCTTATGTAACACACAGAAACTGTGTTTTAGGAAAATGAAATAACAAAAACAGAAATAAAAAAAGTTAATCAAAAAAAAAATTATAAAAAAGTTGTTGTGATTAATCTTCTCTTGTGTTGTTTAAGACAAGATGAATAATAATACATGGAGAGGAATTGTAGTATGTTGTCTCTTAATACTCTTGGTCTTATCAACTTTCTTCATCAGAATTGAGTCCTCCAGACCACCTCCCAGGGCACCTGCCAGGGGCTCAGAACTTGATTGTCTGAAAGATCAGCCCAATCGTAGTTATCCCAATGGTACTAGACCGTGCAATCCGAGCTTGCCACCCGGTACCCCAGTTGTTTTTTGTAGGCCCATGAGTGCAAGAAAAACTGCAATATGGTGGTGCAATACTCCTGATCCTGCGGGTCCATGATGAGGCAGTATTGTATGGTGTGCTATTGTGCTAATATCACATGGAATATTATTATACTTGAATTAAATAAATATGCCACGAGGAAAACTTACTGTACTACTAGTAGTAGTACGTCTAATATATTTGTTTCGCTAAGACGAATGCTTTAAGTTTTTTTTTTTTCCTTTTATAAAGTAATATACTGTATGTTTCCTAATATATTCTGGCATCTTGTACGATTACTTGTGTATCAAGGAGATAAGAAATCATTATTCTGTAGAAATATATAATTATCATCTACTTACGTAATTCTTTAGCTTCAATGCAAAATAATCATGATGAAAGACAGATATACCAAGTTGGATACTGTATATGTATAAACAGTTACAAGTGGATACCAGCAGCTTCTACAAAAAAATATTCTAACAGCAGAAGATTCTATTCAAAATCAACAGTGTTAAATTTGGCACCCCCATGATCCTTCCTCTGCCTTATTCTCTCTTATAGTACGGGCATTAATGCTAGATGAGCCAGCCGTCCAGAGCGCACCTCTCGATTCTGAACTAGAATTTAATATCATGCATGTGCGTATATATATATATGGACTATAATTAAGCAAACTAATGAGAGCAAAGTTGGCTGTAAACAACGCAACGGCCTATCAAAATTAAAACACACACACGTGAACTTATCTCACAAAAGAGATTTTTTCTTTAGTTTCAACTTTCAAGTAACTAGGTATGTAGGACTGTATTTTAGCAAGAACAACTAACTCATATACTCTTGTCTCTGTTTAAACTCAAAAGTCAATATAAGTAAAAATAAATAAAATCTACCTAGTTTAGTATTCAAAAAACTATACACATGCCACATAAGGTCAGTATCGTATTTAGTAATCACAAATACGATGATCTCTAGGATTATAAAAGATAAGTTGTTGTGATATTCGCTAAGATCTTCGTTAACAGGCATTCACCAGAATGGCAAGCTAAGAAAACATTTAGCGATTAAACTGTAACATTTATATATTCACGTTCGAAACAATTAATATTCATTTGAAAGAGCATATCAAAAACTTCTTCTTCGTTTTTTTTTGTCGATAAACCGTAGGAATTACAGGTCCATAATCTTCTTGTGTTCATAACCAATCGTCCATAATACTATGTTTAAGGCGTAAACCATCCATCCCATTTCATAGCCTTAAAATTTGCACAAAACACACACACAGAAAAAAAAATACTCCAGACTATAAATAGTAAATCTCATTTCTTATTTAAACACATAATAAACTGTTTTAGGAAAATGAAACAACAAAAACAGAAAAAAAATTATCGAAAAAAAAAAACAGGTTTCGTGATCAATCATCTGTTGTGTCGTTTGAGACGAGATGAATAATACATGGAGAGGAATTGTAGTATGTTGTCTCTTAATAGTCTTCGTCTTATCAACATTCTTCATCAGAATTGACTCCTCTAGATTACCTCCTTGTAGGATTCATGCCCCCCGTTTTCGTTATCCCAATGGTACTAAACCGTGCAATTCGAGCATTGAGCGTGGATGATGAGGCTATATATTGCATATTTTTTACGTATAAGTATCACCTAATAAAATAAATGTCACGAGGAAACTTAATTACTGTACTAGTATAGTTATTGGATGGAAAAAAAATAAAAAAATAAAAAAATAAATAAATGTCACGAGGAAACTTAATTACTGTACTAGTATAGTATCTTTGTTTTAAGTATATGTTGTTAAAATAGTATATGTTTTCTAAATTTGTATGCAATTTCACATGATTTCTTTTTTATTTTCATGCAATTAGTGTCTTATTTTTTTTATTTAATTAAACTGTATTTAGTAAATGATTAGGCATTTCAATGTTGTATTGCTGGCAAAATCCATATTTCCTATTGATAATAAGTAATTTCTAAAGGGCAAAACTTAGTACATAATTAAGATGTACAAAAGATCAATGCTATTGAAAATATTGTAGCGACGTCTACTTGTGTATCAAGGAGATATATGAGAAGAATGGCGTAAGAGCAAAAGCTGGCGAGAAGAGTGGCACCAACGAACATAAGAGCCGTTGAGGTCAGGCCAGTCAGAGGAAGAGCAGTGTGTGTAATGGTGAAGCCAGAGTGAGAGAACTCTTTCTTGCTCCTCTTCATTTAGTTCAGATATCATCTTCTCCAACACTTTCTCGAGATCCGCTCGTTCGGCACTTCTTAAAACCGGTTTATCCGCTCCGTTGCTGGCCCGGCACAGCAATGGAATCCACGAAATAAGCATCTTCTTCTTTATCTCTTTCAAGTTTGCTTCCTCTGCTTCT